TAACTCGACTAATCTTGATTTAGTGCTCTTTCTTTTAGAAATCTAATTGTTTTCTTGTTAAAGAACTAACGAACGTTTAGTGAACCAGTCAAGTTTATGAAGTGAGCAAAGTTTTATTCTTTCTTTCTATTTCTGAAAGAACTCCAGGTTTTAGCTTCTCAGTTCTGGGTGTTTCTCAATCCAGTCTTCTCATCGGGATCTGATAGCTTTTGCTAGGTGCCCAGATAGGGTAAAGGTAAAGACTCTTTCCGCCTTGTTTAGGCTGTGATAATTGATTGAAATACCGAGGTAGCAAAATAGTAGCTATTATTGAAATGGCTAGACGTATGACAAAAAAGTTTGTCTGAGTAGAGGTTGACACATGTCAATTATTGATATTTATAGATTGAAGCAATTATATTAGCTGTATGTAATATGTTTACTTTTTGATCAAATGCATGAAAAAATGGTGAAGTATTGTTTGAGAAAATGTTTACAGGAATTATTGTGGTTTGTCGTTACAATATTTTCACAAAGCTTTGCCTTTTACAAGGTGGAGAAGAAAACATCTTCATACTTTGCAAAGATTTTCAAAACCATATGAAAGTCGATAAAAGTGAATTTCCACTCACATCTGTCACATCGGTCCGTATGACCGCAGTCTTAAAAATCACGCAAGATTAAAATAAATTATAAAGGACGTTAAATACCTGTTCGGTCCTCCTTTGAATGCGAAGCCATTTCTAAAGCAGTTGTATATTGGGAATATTCGGAACCAAGCTTCTAGACTACCAACTCGATGAAATTACGCTATGACAGCCATAATTTTTGCTACGACTTTAGCCCAAATTCACTGGAAATAGGTGTAGAGGTTATGCCCAATCCCATAAGATAATCATAATCAGAAATTTTAGGTGCCCATTCAGGCTCCTTGTTTATTATGTTGGTCGCGCGAGGAAAAGCCTTAGGAGCCTCTGGCACCCGGGCTCCCATTAGGTAGCAGCCTTGCCTTGACACTAACAAATGTCTTTGCTCTTACAAGATGATTTGCCCAAGAATTTGGGCCAACCCCCTGCCCAAGGATGCAATTTAAAGTCCACTTCCCGTCGATGTGCGTTGCTCAAAAAAATGTCATTGCTTAAGCTTCCCATTATCAATCTGCACACCTATGGTTCACTAATAAAAAATTTGGACACTGTTTGTCTATGTTAAAGGTCAAAATTAAATTCAGGTCAAAACTTTTTAACCTGGGTTGATCTGCTATTTAATTTTTGTCCTAATCCTAACCCTGATTATTCATGAATTAGGGCTAAGAGACAAAGCAAATTGAGAATCAACCTTGGTTACAAAATTTTAAATTGAATATAATTTTGACCTGTAACATCTATATACATGTACTTGTATAACGAATACTAACAAACTTATTGTTTTGTTTAAACTTTGTTTTGTTGTTATTCTTTGTTGTTGTTGCTGTTCTTTGTTTGTTATGAAACTATGGAGAAAGTTGCAGCAAAAGGAGGTTTGAAAGTAATAATTCAGTTTATACATGTGTATCCCAAAAATTCTAAACAAATCGCAATTTAGATAATGTTACAAAACTTTAGGACGGTTGAACTATTACAACTTAGCAGTACAGCTCAGAATGAGACACAGGATTTTTACTAGGCCTTTTATAGTTGACCTGTTAACTGAGGGTAAGCCAATGATAAATACCGTACTACCCAAAACAATGTGCACTTGAAGTGCTCCAGAAGACATGTATGAGGAAAATTAGTTTTACTGGCCTTACAAAAAGAGTGATGCATCAGAAACTAGCCCTAACTGCACCATAAACTAGCACTGCCATTGTATCTGTAATTTCCCAACTGTGGAAGTAAATTTCCATGCCACCCAGTAATTTGACCTACTATGAGTAAAACTCCAGAAAGAAAAAGAATCCTGGATTAAAATTTAACCCCGGGTTAGCACTAATCGACCTTCTAACAACTGGGCTCAGATGTGATAGGGGCTGGCATAACATTGCGCCACACGTTGCTGATAGAGGGTGCCACACTCCATTAACTGCATTTTACAATTTAGTTGTAAAAATTTCCTTACAAAAGCGAAGATAAATACAATGACTTTACTTGAACCATGAAAGAGAAACTAACAAATAGTGAAAAATAGTGAGGGGTAAACAAAAGAAGACAATAGAATTAATGCATAGTAGTGCGTTGTATTCTACTACCTATTTCACGGTTCAAGTAAAATCACTCCAACAAGCAAGCCAATCTGATACTTGTCACTTCAATATTTTAAATTTCTGGCTTGGAGCATAACAATACGTGGCAGTGTAAAATGCAGACTGCGGACAGACTTTAGGGTTAGAAAACAATGGACCTATCGGTGTCACATACTCACAGCTGTACTCATTTGCATGGTGAAAAAAACAGTCCTCAGATAACAATACAAACAAATATCAACAACATACTATGACAACATTTCACGCCAACTGAACTTTCAGGCAAGAAATCCTCCTCCAAAGGAAGTGTAACTGAAGATTTTGTCGAAATAAAGCAAGGAGTATACATGTAAAACTTACCAGTATAAATTTGAAGAGGCGATGTGGTCGTAAAACATAGTACAAAACATGGTCAACTTTCCAGTGATCTGCAGCCATACTGGTGACTAAGTTTGCCCAAAAATGCCACAGAACGAGAAAGGAAACACTTCCAATGGTAGCAGTCCAAAAACAGTCCAACTTGCGCACATTTTTGACCACAAACTGTAACATTTTCCCCATTTCTGTTAAAAACATGGCCTCCATTGTACCGCATTCGGTTCTCGTTCCCAGAATCCTCGCGGCACTAGATTTCCCGCGAAAACTAAAACGGTCCTCAATGCGTGCGAGGTGAGTCAAAACAAGTGCAAAAAAACATGGCGACCTTCTCATTTGGGTCTCTTCACCTCCTACATTACTGTTCTCATTTACTAAAACAAAACGAGCATATAAATCAGTTTTCCTTAATCATGTTACAGTGATACCAAATTAGTTCGATGAACAGAAGAAGTAGTCTTTTTCGTGAAACAGCTTGAAATTAGCTTGTGTCGACGGGAACGCTTTGCAATTTTTTCTTTTTCCTAGCGGAAAACTTACCCCCTTAAATGCGGAATTTCTGTGGTTTATAAAACTCCTGTCTTTCTGAACTTAGGATTTTCGAATGCATTATCTTCAATAAAATGAAAAGACTGAATTAAAAGGTAAAGGCATTTAACGTTTTCTTTAAAGTGCTTCGTTCAGACGCACTTAACAAATGTTTTTTTTTTACAGTGGTAAAACCACATTCTTTAGTAAATCCTCCTTTGGTGAGTCAGGAAGCTGAACAGGAAGCTGCGTTTTTATTTGTCGCGCACGCGCATAAGCCTTCTTCCTTTCTTGTTTATGCCCTGTTTTGTTGCCCTTTTTCTTGCCTTTCTTTTCTACGAAATTATGACTGGTTATCTTTCCAGGAAAGGGAAAACTTTATCTGGAATAAATAGTGGATAAACCTAGAAATTGGCAGCGGGGTTTTCCCCAAAATTTTAGGAGGGTTTCTTGTGTGTAACTCTGGCAGAATTGGTCAGAATTAAATTAACAAAATGAGATACCCTGTGTGCAGATCTATCCTAATTGAATTCGCTGTATATCATCTTAAACGCTTCAAATGATGGGTTTCGAAAATATAATATATGACAGGAACTCGCTCAAAGCGCTCGTCAAAGGGGATAATAAACCTTTTTGTCTTCCTTTTTTATTTTGTTTTTTAGTGGAGCTTCCCCCGCACGCGAAGCGCGCGCGAGCGGAATCCCATAGCTAAGGAAATTTCGTAATCTATCCATCCGAGAAAATTTGGTTATGACGTCAGCGTACGACCTCCCGTCCGTACAGACACTGGAGGGAAATTTAGCATTAATAGAGAGGTTTCCACCAAAAATTTGGACGCCTCTCAATGAAGATCACCACGTCATTATTCTATGCAAAAAAGTTTGATTGCTTTAGCTCGTGTAGAAGGGTACATGTATAAATATGGAAAGTTATGAATATTGTAATGGAGAGTTGAGTTCACCAATTTGGCATTCCCAAAGTGCACTTTCTTTACCCCCTCCTCCTCAATTTTGCTTACGCATTGTCTTCAATTTCTCAAGGGACGACTGTAATAATAGGGAGAAATTTCAAACAACGAAACAAAGTCCACTAACTGATGCTATACGAGACGATTTTACGACCTACTTTCACTGCAACTATGTTGTAGCCTTGTTGGTACAATTCAATACAATGTTGCAACGCTCTGTTACACTTAAATCGTCCTTGCGAAGGTAACATCTCCTTGATGGACAATACAAAAAGGGTGAACGCGGTGAAAAGCACTTTCCATTCCAATAATATTCATGCTTTTGTGCGTACATGACACTCTGGAACCACTCTTAAGCAACCTTGTTCCCGGAGGGGGTGGCGACGGAGACATAAGAACCTGGAGAACAATCTGTCCCAGGTGCAACATAGCGAGGACTCTCCTGTGCCCGCCGACGTGCTGCTTATAGCAATTTGAACTTCCGTTTTGTTTCCTTTTGCTTTTTGTTTTTTTTATAAATCAGTAGCTTTAGTTATTGATGTTTTTTCAATGATTGTTTTTTTTTAATTAACGAAGGATCCATTGTAATTGGTTAGGTTGTAGTGGTCTCCCTGCCTAATAATTTTTATGTATTCATGTATAAAGATTGTATTATAGTTAGGCGAAGATAAATAAATAAATAAATAGACGGAAAGAAACTGAATTACTGCCCAGTCTTCTCGGCGCATTTAATTACAGGAGAGAAATCGTTTGAAACACCAGTTCACAAAAAGAAATATGTTTTAGCTCACAGGCTACTTTATTGATCGATCAAAAAGACTTTCCCAAATCAAAGTAAACCCATGCTTGAGTTTGTATTCCAGGGATCATTACATGTTTCTGGGAAAGTGCCCACCCACCCCTCCCCTTAGCCAACATTAACGCTTACTTCTCACTTAGGGCAAAATGCTGGCTTAGGGGAGGGGTAGGTGGGCAGTTTCCAAGAAACATAGTATGAACTTATTCCTGGTACCCTTGCAATTAACAAGGTCAGCGGCAAAACAGCATTGAATGAATGATACACTGAATGAATGATGTGATTGTGGAAACTGAATCGGAGTGGGACTGTATTAATTCATTAAAGTAAAAGTTTTTGCTTTTTTACATCTAAGCCTAGCCAGTCACATGATTGTATCACAGGAGTTTGTTTTTTTGTAGCTAAATTTGCAGTCATTCCAGTTATGCGCTTTAGTTAAAATCTGTTAGATAAATGGTCGTGGCAGGGTCTTGAGATCACAACAGGTGTCTTATTCAGCCACTCACATCTGACTGCGGATCTATCAGTTTCCTCAAGTGTATGTCTAGGGTAATAACATGGTCTTGTGCCGGGCACGTAGTTATGTCAACGTGGGTCCATAAGGTTCCTAAAGATGTACATGTAGGTCTAAAACCTACACGTAAGAGAAGGTGCATTATTAATTTTGGTCATCAAGTTGGATACAGCTCCAACAGGTTCTGCCAGATATAGGTCCCAGGTTTTTGCTGGGAATTGTGGCATAAGCTTAGGTGCATTATTCCTCTGTCATGAGAGATGGAGCTCCATCAGGTTTCTTCTGGTGTGGATGGAAAATTTTACCAGGTATTGTGGCATAAGCCTAGGTGTATTATTCGGTCATCATGTCAGATAAGGCTCCATTAGGTTCCTTCAGGTGTAATTATGTCAGATGTGGCTCCCTAAGGCACCTCCAGGTGTAGGTCCAAGGTTTTTACTGAGAAACGTGGCGTAAACCAAAGAGCATTGTTCAGTCCTCATATCAGATTGGACTCCATAAAATTCCCCCAAAGTTTTTATCAGGAATTGGGGCATAAAGCCTAGGTGCATTATTCAGTCATCATGTCAGATAAGGCTCCATTAGGTTCCTTCATGTGTCATTACGTCAGATGTGGCTCCCTAAAGCACCTCCAGGTGTTAGGTCCAAGGTTTTTACTGGGAAATGTGGCATAAACCAAATATTCAGTCCTCATATCAGATGGGCTCCATAAGGTTCCTACAAAGATTTTACCAGGAATTGGGGCATAAAGCCTAGGTGCATTATTCAGTCATCATATCAGATAAGGCTCCATTAGGTTCCTTCAGGTGTCATTATGCCAGATGTGGCTCCATAAACCACCTCCAGGTGTAGGTCCAAGGTTTTTACTGGGAAACGTGGCGTAAACCAAAGTGCATTATTCAGTCCTCATATCAGATGGGGTCCATAAGGTTCCTCCAAAGATTTTACCGGGAATTGGGGCATAAGCCTAGGTGCATTATTCAGTCATCATGTCAGATGGGGCTCCATCAGCTGCCTCCAGGTGCAGGTCCTCTAACATCTCCTGGAGACTTATCCGTGGGGCCTCAGTATCATCATCACTCTCAGGGGTGCCTTTATAATCACGGTCTGAAAGAGAATCAATAATAAAAATGATTCAGAATCGTTTTTCAGTTTACGGTTTTAAAAAATTACGTAAATAAAAAAAGGACAAGGGATAAAAAACTCAACAGAACAAAATCACATTAAACAGCTTCGTTCCCAGTGACCCTCAGCGAGTTTGGTGGTGAGGTCATCGGTCAAGCTTGTCGTTAGAACCTACCCAGGAGGCCTGGCAAAACAGGGCTAACAGGAAAAAACTCCATGTACAGTCGATGTAATGACATACCAACATAGATGTTAATATTTTGTCTGTAAGACTTGTCTTCCTCCAGATCACCCAGGAAAGCATCATAATCCCTGAGAAGGTTGAGATAAAAAACATGTATTACATAAGGGCTGGTGAACCAGTGACTGGTCAGCTGGGTCTGTTGGGTCCGTTGGGTACCTGCCCTATACATAAAATAACCTGCTGTAGCAAATAAGGTGATGACGATGATGATAATGCTCTGTCTAAGAAACTAAAAACTGAGAATCCACTTAGTGACAGATGCACATCAGTTTTACTTTTATGCCTCCGTTTCTACCACACCCATCCATAGCAACAGGTGACAGTAGATATGGTTTAAAATTTAAAGAAAAGTTATTTCAAAAAGTGTGTTAATAATTTAATAAAAAGAGCTAGAATTAAATGAAAAAAAAAATGTTGACTACACACAAGCTTTTGGAGCTAACACTGTGCCTTTGTCAAGAGGAATAACAAAACAATCATACATGAACAGGCATAATAGACCTATTGCTGCCTTAATGTAAGCCACTATTTCAGACTGTATAAAAGTTTTGACAGTTCCCCTGTAAATCGAATATTTACCTGTCAAGACTGTCATGGTCTATTCCAGCCACTTCCTTGTTAAGAGTTTTCAGCTTCCAGTTTCTTCTCTTTTGCCGCTTCTTTTTGTCACCATAACATTTCTTGACCAAAACCTGGAAATATGAATTTGTTAAGAAGCAGTGAATGTTCATTGCTGACTCTGGACTTGGGACTAACTAAAGGCAACCATTCAGTGATAAAACAGATAACCCATTATTTGGAAAAACCATACCGATATCAGATACATGAACATGTATGTTCAAAGGTGTATTTACAATAAATTTTAGAGTAGTATATAATGTATGTTAACAAAACCATGCAGCACCAATACTTACCACGTCTGGGATCCGTTCAGCATTCATTTTACTCAAATTGTCATCATTCATATTTGAACAGGTGAAATCATATCTAAAAGAAAGATCCAACAACATTAATAAGTTAATTCTCCATGCTCTTCATGTAAATGTCATGATATTTCCATCCTTAATGACCTTTACTAGTTAACTGAGCGGTTTAAACTGAAAAAACAGTTACATGTAAAATGACAACAAAAGATGAGTTTAATAATATAATGGTATAAGAGGTTCCTTTTCCAGAACGGTTTCAGGGAGGCAATTGCCTCAGGGCATGCTGGGGTGTTTGCACCCTAAAGGACAATATAAAGGGGTATTCACACGAAACAAAATAAAGAGGGGCACTATGACTATACATAACAAGTAACTTGTGTTATTATACATTGTACTCAATGTCTGTCTTCTCATTGGCTAAGAGCCTACACCAAATCTTGGAAAACAGCCCAACCTACAGATGAGTCAGTTATCTGCTAGCAGATTACTGACTAATCTGTAGGTTGCGTGCGCAATGCATGATTTCCAATAACAATATCAATTCAGGTTCCTTGTGATGGTGTTTGTTCCTATTTTCTTCAACACAGTGTATAATAAAACAATATAAGATTCAGTTTTTGTGATATCCTGAGGTAAGTGTCTCATCTCAGTAAGTGTTATCTCAGACCTTGATTATTCTGGTTATCACAAAAACCTCATCCAATAATTATTTAATATAAGTATGTGAGTGGTTACATACACCTTGTAGGGCACAGGGAATAGTTCTTAGACAACAAGCTCCTATCACGGTCACATTATTGACCTTCTGCACCCAGAAATTAAGATATAGAAGACAATTCATACTTTGTGAACTATAAACACTGGACAGTGGCTTACTGCCTGTGTGGTATGAAGGGGTGTTGACCTTTTCATTTCAGAACACACTGCAGCAAGATTAGGAATTTTGTCACAGTCTAACCAATGAAATTTGTGAATGAAATCCTAAGTTGTTACCTTTCAAATGAAATGTCTTTAGCAGAACTTTTGTATGGCATTATCTATTTCTTGGGATTTTACGAAAAGAAACTTAGTTTTTTTGGTGAATCCTTCCGTTGGCCACTAAAAGGAGTGAATTGCTTGAAAACCAACCACGAATGAAGGCTGGATATAAGGGGACCATCCTGTTGGATAAGGAGGGTATGGAGGGTTGTTTAAACTCCGTGGGGTAAGGGGTAAGGAACAGGGGAAGTAATCAAACCTTGTTGTGAACAGGTTTATACTCTGTAGGGTATGGAGGGGTGATGTTACCCAGCATTAACTGCAAGGTAGTTCATACCCTAGTGCAGTATCTCCAGTCTTCAGTAAGTGACCCAAGTGTGTACGGCAGTGATACTGTGTGTCATTTACACCAAGATCCTGCATACGCGCAACCCATGCATCTGCCAGTACATGCTGAAAATAGGTAAGAAAACAAACATAGTACAGTTGACTCCTGATAACTCAAATCCTCACTAACTCGAACCTCGCACTAACTTGAACTAAAGTCAATTTCCCCTGGATGTCCTTCATACACTTACTGTAATTTTACCCTAAGTAAGTTGAACCCTCAACAACTCGAACCTCCTGCTAACTTGAAGAACAACATAAAAGGGGATCCTACAATGTTTTTGTTTCCCTTCAGATCATTTCTATATATATAATTCTACCCTCAATAACCCGTGACAAGTTGAAAAAATAAACACTGAACTGAAATCCAGAACATTGACAAAACAAAATGAAAAAACAATCAAAACAAGAATCCTTCCTGTCAATTCTTTGCTTTTACTTTTCTGTCAATCCAGTTCAAATTCAGTGTCCATCTCGTAATTCCTTTCTTAAAATACTAATCTATATCTTTTGCCACCCTTGAAGCGAAGGGTGCATAGTAGTTGCATTCCCTCTCCAACAATTTGGTTATTTGCATATTCCCAGTTATTTGCTTTGAACTCCCGATAACTTGAACTCGATGACTCAAACTTGTTTTGATTTCCCTAGAAGGTTCAAGTTATTGGGAGTTGACTGTAGTTCAAATCAACAACCCAAGAACAACAAAAGGAGATCCTATAACATTTCCAGTATATATTTAGCCTTAAGGCCACATCAGCAATATGGTCACCTCAATATAGCACCCACTTTCTTATGGCCCGGCAAAATGGCCATACATTTTCATATTGAAAACCCCCATTAATGCGGTCATCCATTAATATGGCCAACCGCTACATTTAAAAATCTCAAAAAGTAGAATCTGTTATAATTTCACCCCATTAATACAGCCACTCTTTAAATGCTTGTGACATGTAATATAATTAAAATGCTTGTGACATGTCAATTTCATTAACCTGGTAGGTTGAGTCTGATCTCTCGATTCTCTTTAAACTACAGTACACTTAAAATGCATTTGTGGCAGTTTAATAGCCAATTTTTAGTGTTCTATGTCCTGAAGGAAAGTTTCAAGATTACTAGTTACAGGTCAGAAAGTGTGATTTTTTGATGTATTGATCTGTATTTAAGATTATTACAATTACAGCCCTCAAGTCATGATAAAATTTGGTAAAGCAACAGTCTTTTCATTATCCAGAACTTGCCAAAGCCAATAAGTCCTGAATCAAAGACCAACAAAAAATGATCCACATGTATGCCCACATAATCCACCAAAAGGAAGAAAATTATAGGTAACAGTTTCTATTCTTTTCATGGGGAGGGAATGGCTACAGATAGGAAAAGCAAAGATTTTAACTCTTTTACCCTTGGACCTCTTTCACCCTTAGTAGACAACACAAATGCTTGAGTCCTACTCTTATCTTTACGATTTCACCCACAGAAGTTTGAATTTTTTTATGAATTTTTATGAAAGGAATTACAGGGTTTAAAAATACCCATGAAAAGCGCCATTATGAGAAGCAAAAGAAAAAATAATGTACCTAAAAAGTACATGTGCACAGACTATTAACATACATTTGTAGAACTACACATAGAGTTGCCACAAAGCTATAAGAATGAGTTGTTTACATGGCTAACAAATAACGGATGAATGACCCATTCATGTCCTTATCACTAATGACAATAGCAGGCATGGTTTAAAGGGCCAATAGAAACAAGGGTTTCTGAGAGCTTTCTGGTAACAGTTTTTATTGTAATATTACTATACCCTTTGACTGAGGTTGCTGCTGGATGCTTTAGGGTTTTGTGATTCAACCGGTTCAATTTGTAGAACCATAAACTCTGTCAGCTGTTTATATGTACACAGACTTTTAAATGGAAAACGCCAGAAGTTTGGTGCTGTTATGTCTGCCGCTGAAATGAGAACAAAAGAAAATGACATCAATTTTATAAAACATTTTTCCATGAACTGCAGCATTGGCTTAATATCATTAGTGAACATATCCACCTTACAGTAAGTGCTATTTTAGACAAGTTAGAGGTCACTAAAAGTGCACAGAATTGATTGAAATATCAAAATAACTTTTTGACACTGCAGGAAACAAAGAAGATTAGTATAGCCCAAGCTTCAAAATAATAACAGTCTGTCATCGTATAATGTCTGACTATTGACAATTTCACTGTTGAAACTGATGATGAGGTCCAAACCTCTTTATGAAAAGACAAGATCTGTAGCGAACATTTCAAGTGAGTGTACCTATTTCTTTAGTTCGATTGAAGAGGAGTCTGGAGTTTTTGACACTTTAGTGCACACAAATTTTTTTTGACACTTTAGTGCACACAAATTTTATTGACCTTCTTCTCCATTTTAATAGACATCGAATGTTTAATTGTAATAATAGTACACACTGATGTTCTTTAATTCCAAAGTATATTTTAACAACACGTTTCTGTACATTAAAATAAATAAAAGTAGGTTCCCATGAATTTTCATGGAACAAAAAAATTGTTACAGATGGTTTCCCATGATCTCTGGGCAGCGAACTCAAAAATTGTTATCCGTGGGATTTGAAATCCTAGGGCTTGTAAAAGAAACTCAAAGTCAATGAAATGGATGGCCAACAATCTTTCTCAATGTTTGTCTGAATAAAAGACTAACCTGATTCAGATCATACATTATGTGTCTGCTGATGACTTTTTCAATAGAGAATTTTGAAGACTGTAAAAATAATTGTCTGTCCTTTAATTTTTAACACAATCAAATTCTACTGGCCCGATAAAAATTAATCATAAATGATAACTTACTTTGTAACGTTACTGGATCAATTAACTGTAGACTTGTGTTGACTCGGTTACAGATAACAATTTGGCTAAAAAGAACATCAAAAAGGAGAACTCTAGCATTAAAACCAGAGTATACTGTACAGACCACTAATGCAACCCTTTCATGTCTCACAGGGTCACAGTAATAATTAACAAAACTTTGCCAAAAATTGCAAATTTTCATTTTGTTCAATTCTAACATATTATTTATAAACAGCAATGTGCTTTAAATTTTTATCACAGAGGTTTCAATAATGAATGATAACACCACAGGGTTTCATCCACAGATGCTCAATTCAGAATGATCAATCATCTTTCCACAATTTCAGTCTTGGAACGAAAAGTTTGATCATCAAGCAAAACTAACTATGAGAGAACTGAAAATTTGACTAACAATAAATGACTGTTTTACTGTGAAAACAGAAGGATTGAAATGCACCAATGGCATTACGAGTCTTCAGAACCAATAACATCACGTCTTAACTGACAGACAACCAGTAACATGATTCATGACTTAATTGACCAATCAGGTCAATAACCAGAGTTTCATAAAATCAACGGATGTGATACAACTCACTTTGACTCTGAAGATGACTACCGCACAGGTTGTCGAAACATCAGTCACTGTTAACAACAACAGTCCTATTCAGGACTACGTTCACCCAGACGATCATGCTCAACCTACTTATGAAATGACTCCTGGGTTCAAACCTTTTACAAACTCTTTTAAATAACTACACTGTATACACTTTTTCCCTCAGATTAAGCAAATATATTGATTTACCATGAAACATTACCTGATATTTCCCAATGATCTTGACACTTTCAAAGGGAGACAAATAATTTCTTCCTGAAAGTCATAATAAGAGTTAACAATGTAAGTCAATAATCAAAGGTTGAGTAATTACATTGTGATAAAATTAATAAAGAGTTAACCAACCCTGCAGACAGGAACAATTTCCACAGAGAAAGTGTATTTGTAGTTATATGTATTGTTGTGTACATCATGTGATATAAGTTTCTCAGATGTCTTATACCTGACAACAAATAAGAAACAAAAATTATTTCACACAATTAGAATGTTTATTTGTTCATATGAGAGGGATAAGGGATGTGTTTGTGGCGGGCACAGGTGCAGGATGGAAGAGAGACTCTACATTGAGGTGCCACCTAAAAAAATGGTACCCATCATTATAAATAGGCTGGAGGTGTATGGAAAGAGGTGATAGTGCTACCAACACTGATCTAAAAAAGCATAAACACTTAAGTCAAGGTATCAAAAAGGGCTTTATATAATACCTTAAATAGGTTTTGATTCAACGAGTTCAATCTGTGATGTATCTTACATGTAAGTCATGACTCAAACCCACACAATATTATTTTATTGTCAGCTAAAGTGTGTGAACGAAACAGCTTCTTTTTGTTATCCAATAAAGAGTACTAGACAGACCGCACATGCCATCTTCAGGGCTTCAGGGTCTGCGAGCAAGCTCTCCAAAGATGCTTGTTTACTCGCAGACTACAGCTGTACTTCAGGGCTTGAAAATAAAAATTGAATTTCAGCTTTTTCCACACAAACTTTGCTACAACCAGTTGCAAAAGTATTTGAGACACTCTACCTTATTTTGGCTTAAATGGCCTGCCCATGATCTCCCCTCCTCCCCTTATCAAAGACTCAAGCAATACAAGACCATGCTCAAAATATGGAGGAACAACTTTGAATGGAGGGTAGGAGGGAGGTGAGTATTACATTGCACAGTAGAGTGACTAGCAGAGATTTGAAGTAAAAAGGCCAGTTTTTCATTGGAGTGTCTCAACATTTTTGCACTTGGTTCTAGCCCAGGTCTGTTGCTTCCTTGTCTAAGTTGCCAATGAAAGGTTATTGGTCTAACAAAAAAATATACTTGGCCTGGATTAAAGGCTGGGATCCTTTGAGCTCTCAACTTACCTACAGGGGACTACTGACTGAAGGAATTCAACAAACTTGCGAGCATCAGCTCTGGATGCGTAGAAAAAATCCACACCATCTACAGGAACAATCAAATATTGTGAGGTGGCTAAATGTAGGTAGTTCAGGTGAAGTTAAACACAAGACACAATCTGCTGACCAGCAGTCTCCATCACTGATCATATCTGGGACAGTCTTAAGGCATTTGCAGGGCTCTGGTAATTTTTTCAGCGCTTTCAGTTAGATCAATCATTTCCTTCACGTTGCTGTTTGCATGCAGTCACTTGAGCAATTTGTGCTCTCAGCCCTCCCAACGCTCTAAATATCAATCTGCAACACTCTCCACTGAGGTTACCAGTGTGACTTTGCCTTGTGGTTGCTGCTCACAGGATTGTCATGGTTGCGTTACCTTGCAGCTCCGTCCACTTGACCTGGCACCTTCCCTACATCTACACCCATCTATTGGTGGTGGCTTTAAACAATAATTTATCACAATATATTCTGCTTTATCGGTTATAATTCATTATAAAGACATGTATCATTACAGGCAGCATATTATACCATGCCAGTTGGTACAAGTCACTAAGGAGTTGACCTCAAATTCCTCAGGGAATCCAACAGGTGGTCAAAGTAGGATTTAAAACTGAAACCTCTGGATTAATTGCAAGTGCAATACAATAACTACTTCACCTTATTACCTCCTTGCAAGAATTCCGTCATATCTCTTGATAATAATTTAGAACTATTTAAGATAATATCAGTCAATAAAATTACCTGATTCCTGTTTGATTTTAACAGTGTTTTGGTGCGCACTGTGTTTTAAAATAAGCTGTTCAAGATAGAAGAAAGTCTTTTTATGGGATGTCTGAAACAAAAAATTTAAACATTAAACCTAAATAAAGGATGTAAATTTGCTGCAAAAATTGTACACTGGAACAATGACAACCTTCCAGAGAGAAAAAGCCAGTTGGTTAAGCTTTTTAATGTGGCTGAATGCAATTTAGGCAAAGTTAAACTGGAGACAATGCTGATTTGAGACTGATCACAAAAGTGTACCACCACAGTTTTTCTAAGTACCTTGATAATCAACATTTTATCTCAAAAAGAAGCTTCACTTGTTTGTATACAACTATTGCAGGCCAGTTTTAATGACATTCCATCTCCACAAAAATAAAATGAAAGACGAGGCCGTTTTGAACCAGATCTCAACCATGACAGAAGCTTACACACATTCAAAAAAGGTAGAACTGTACCAAGTTTTTTGTACCTTTTGTCTGACTTGCACAACTGCCTTCCAATAATCTTGGGCTGCCTGGCGATGACAGGCATCACACATCTGATTTTGTACAACAAATTCCACCACAAAAACTTGCTGTAATATTGTTGAATTTACCACCTACAACAATGAAAGTTAATTTTCATTATTACTAGTGAGCTAAAAGTTTGTAGTTGTAAGGTATGAATGGATGAAGCCTATTTTTCCCTCTCAAATCAAATTTTATACAAGGGTAGATGTACAGGCCAAAAATTTTAAAGAAGAGGGAAGAAGAAAAAACAATTTTTAAACACAAAATCAACACAATAACTTAACAGATAAAAAGCAGAACAGGAAATAACAAACCTCTTTTTGAATGGTTAATTTCACTTTGATTCTCTTTGAATGAGGTTCTGTCCAAATAAATCCAGCATCAACAAGGCGAACCTACAATATGAGTAACACGCAGTCAGTTTGTTGACAGCACTATTGATAGGTCAGTGCTCTGATCAATCACCAGAGCATGCAGAAAACTGAAAATCTTTGTAATTTCTGAGACTCTAGAGTTTGTGAATACTCAAATCTCAACAACTTACAGAGGTAACGCAGTGCATGGCACTGGATGATTCAAACTCTACATGATAATTTAAGACAGATTTAATGACAAATCCTTAGAGTTCAATAGTGACGATGTTTGTAGCCTCATTGCGGTTTCGAAAATAGTTCTCGGTAGCAGTATTGATGGGTTCGAATTTGTCTGACGACACACACCGAAGGGTAGCAAAAAATAACGACTCTAGCAGCAGATATCCTATGATAACAACTCCAATGTTAGCAGGGTTATGAATTTCGCCTTTGCTGTGTATCATCTCGTATAATAAAGTAAACACGCATTATGCTTAGGGCATTAACTAAAAAGATTTGCTTGTATGCCTTACGCATTTCCATGCGGAAAAGTCTGTACCATGACATGAGCACAAAAAACTACAAGATATTTCTAGAAAGATTGATATAGCGGTAATCAAATTCCTAAAAGCAAAGGAAACCATAATTTTATAACAAGAGAAATAAACAAGGAGCATTTCAAAATGAACAATCATTACTTTTAAAGGACACATTCTGTTTGGTTTAGGTAAATAATTATTATAAGCAAGACTGACACGGATTCTGCCATCAACATGTGACCAACATGGCATAATAAATAACACCTTATTCAATCCTTTCAGCTTTTTTAAACACAGAGCCAGAAGCTCTCTGGATTCCAGTGCACATGCTACCCATTGACTTGGTGGCTGAAGATACCTGAGTTTAAAACAAAAAATGATTGAGACCAAGTTAGTATGGTTTACCTGTAAAGCTCAATCCTTTTATTACACGACCCCACAAGCTGAAAGCTTTGACTTTCATTGTATATGAAGAAAGGTTGTATGTATGTATGTAATACTAAACTATAGATAACATTGTATTTTAGTAGCAGCTGCTCTAAGCACCCCCTTCAAAAATCACTCCACTTTTAAATAAATCATTTTTTTCTTCATTATTATGATCATCTTCCTCTCAGCTGGAGTCTAGCTTTGGGTCAACTGCAGTTATCAATGAAATCATGGAATGTTATCACAAGGTACTCATACAGCCAAGTAAAAAAAAACATCATACAGATTTCAATAAAAAAAGAGAAAGGGTGGGTGATTTTTTTTATTATTTCTGCCTTATTCATTATTGCCACTTTGGAGATTTCTTTTCAAATTTTTAATACCCTCGCCCTGGGAAAAGTTGGAGTTCTTCAGTCAAATGTTAGGTCAAACATGCTTGAAATAATAACCACCCTTCTCCCCATCCCCCACCCCTCAGGGGGGCTAACAGAAGATTTCCAGGCTTCTTCATGGAGTGTAACTAAGCACAAATACACCGGGGTTTGGGCAGCTTAACTGTAGGAAAGATGACCTTTAGGCAACTAGCAAAGGCTAATTTCCATATGATTGTAGCAATCACCCTGATTGCTACAAAAATAGTCCACGCCACGTGACTAGTGTTTACATTGGAACAAGAATTATCAGTCATGGACAATAACATGATTTGCTTTGAGAGACTTTCGTTCACATGTCAAGGCTGCTTTGCAGGTGCAATTGCTACCCTGGTTGATTTTTTGCAGCAATCGTAGATCATAGGCAAATTAAAGTTTCTAGTTTTAAGGTAAAGCGGATGGTTTAGAGGGTACTATTGTGTTTCTCTCAAATCTGTTCCACCAAATTTATTTCGAAAACAACAAATATATCTGTATCGTACCTTTCACATGATTTGCAGAAATTCAAATTACTTTGTTTGGGAATTCCCTTGGTGATATCAACTTGGGTCCGAAGACATCCGACGCACATGTTGGATGGATTTGGAGTGGTTAAAACACCACATTGGCAACACAAACTGAAAAGACAAGGGAAAGAAAACGAATGAAAGTGAGACTTGTTAAATAAAAAATGAAAAGATAAGAAAAGGAAATCATTTGAAGGCAAGAATTCACTTGTAGTACCTTGTTTGCGTTTCTGAACTCGGAACTGCTTCCATGTACTCCATCTTGGATTGACGCTGGAAATGAATTATGGGTAGGATTGCACAAGCAGGAGTCATGAGTTAGCGACAGGGGTGGGCTGGGGCTCTGCTGTCGACCTTTTATGGCACGAGTAACTACTTCCCTTGTGTAGAAAAGTCGTGGTAAGACGATAAAGTAAACAAAAACATTTTTGCACTATTGTCCTTAAGCGACTCCTAGGAGTAACTTGCATTGTAAATCATAAATGTCTAGAGAACCAGTGTGCAACCTCGTTCCCAGGGTTTTCTCGGTCCGTAGGGCGGGTAGGGGACTTGTAAGGATGGAGCTGCACGCTGGGTACACCATTTAAGGGAATCCGGATTCCGGAATACACGAATTTTTTTGCTTGAGGAACTGGAAATCCAGGGCTTAAGAAAAAGAAATGTGGCTCAAGGAATCCGGAACCCACTAACGATTCGAATCCGGAATCCAGTACCCTGAATCCGCAATCCAAGGTTTTGGAATCTGGAATCCAAGATTTCGTGTCTTTCGATTCCTTTAATTGAGGCGATTACAAGAGCGCGCGCTCCTATTGCTTGAATTGTTGTAACTAAGTATAGCGCGTAACGCCCTTTTATTGCTGCGCGCGCTATCGAAACAAAACGACATAGGAGGCAAACTGTATTTAACGGACTTGATTTAGCTGTGAAACAGGCTCTGAGAAAGATTTGAAAATGAATCTAAGGGTTTTTCAAGAACGCAATTCTCGCTCAAGGTCTCCGAAACGTTACAGCTTAAACCGGAAAATTAAAGAGAGGTGGGTTATATATTGCGTTTTAAAAATGTTAGAGTTTCTGTGCGTTTGCACCTTGTATCATATAAAATGTAACTGATATATACTCAGATAGCAGATTAAATTTGTTATCCTTTGAGTTTTCAACACAAAGGCAGGTGATCGCCGTTTTATGTTTAAAACCTGAGAACAACGAATGTATAGTGGCAGTAATGACAGTCAATTAGTTCAGTGCATGTGCCTTACGAAATTAGTACGGCTGAAACGGCTGTCCGTTTTATACAGCTCACCTCTCCTTGAGAGCATCTTGCTCTCTATTTTTTGACAAAAGGACTAATGAACAAGAGTTATTTCGTGCCTTAAAAGACTGCATGCTAGGAAATTAACAAAAACAATTAAGGCAGGTTTTCTTGGTCCCAAGGATACCAAAACAAGGACACTCAGTCTCAAATATGGGCACATAAGTCTGTCCTTTGGAGTGTGTATCAAGGAGACATGGCTGTAATAAGGACACCTCTGTATGCGGACACTTGGCTCTTTCCCTAAGGTGACTGTCTTGCAAGAGGGTTTGACTAATGACTATAATATGGATACCTCTGTACCTGGACAGTCACTTGACTATGTCCCTTTTGGCGCCTGTATCAAGGATTCTTGATTGTAATAAGGGCAACTCTGCATACGGACACTTGGTTCTGTCCCTTTGGTGCCTTTCTTAAGAGGGGTGCCTATATTGACTCCTCTGTATGCGGGCTCTTTCCTCTGTCCCTTTGGTATCTGCATTAATTAAGGAGACTTGAGGGTAGTATTGATACCTCAGTACATAATGTGGTTATCTGAATATGTCCCTTAGGTGTTCGTATTAAGGAGACTTCACTGAAATAAAGATATCACTTTAATGTGGCAGTTAAAGCTCTGTCTCTTAGCAAATCTCTGTCTTAAGAGGGCTTAACTGTAATATGGACACCTTTGTATTTGGACACTTGTCGTTGTCTCTTTTGATGTCTGGATCAAGAATACTTGACTATAACATAGACTTCTTTGCCTGTATCAAGGAGGCTTGATTGTAGTATGGAAACCCGAGTATATGACTGTGTCTCTTGGGTGTCCATATTAAGGCGACTAGACTGTAATAACGTTACCTCTGTATGCGCACACTTGGCTCTGTCACTTAGGTGCCCTTATTGAGGAAACTTGACTGTGATAGTGGCATCTCTATATACGGGCACTGTTAGCTCTGTCCATTTGGTGTCCGTTTTAAGATGCGGTTTGACGGTACCTACCTTCCTTTCTAAACACATTAATTTGTTTTATTAGGAAACACATAGACAGTTGTGAAATTGGGGCCCAGCTATTGGCGCCTGTCTCTTCACAAACACGAGTTACAGAAAACCGCGGACGTGCAAATGAATTCCCACGTTATGAAGCAAAAAGAAACAATGAAGTGCGAACTACAGCTCTTTCCTCTTTACAGGGTATGCTAAGTTGTGCTTTGTATTAGGCTCCATTTACAGGGGCGTGAGATAATAATTGTTTTATGTCCCTATCTTTCAAGTGGAGAAAACTCGCGAATCCGAAGAATCAATACGCAATAAATCTTTCCAGCTATTTTGTAGACTTGTCCCTCCCCCCACGCTCACTGCTCATCCGAAAAAATGTCACTCTTAGTAAAACATGGCGTGGAAGTGGACATGCCAATCTTGTAAGTACCCTGGGTGTGACGCAGTGTGACAGCGCCGGCACGAAAACCATACCGGATAGGGCTTTTGTTCACACTTAAAAACGGTGATTTAGGAGCGATTTATGTAACGAAGCGAAACTGCGCAGTGCCGATCTCTAAAGTACAGAGTCAGATTGGTCAGATTGTTCTTCACACTATAGTATAGTGTATGTTATGTATTCAGGTCACCACCGCTTTTCTCCTTCATTCTGTAGAAAGTTTCTGGTTTTTTTTTTTACCTCCATGAGATATTTTCTAACATCTTATTTCATGCTTTTTCATGTAAATCAGACGTACAAGAGCAGAAACACAGCTGGAGCACTTCTACTCCAATACAACACTTCACGATGCCTGCGCGCAGTCCAGGAGACTTCAGCAGAATCGCTAGTCAGTTCGAGAACAATATGAGAAGGAAACTGGAAAACCAACGCTACGTTCAAGTTCCTTACACTCATTACCCACTAAATTATGGACCCCATTTCGGAAATTTTCAGGGGATACACTCTATACAATCTCAAAATCCGCTACAAAATGGTGTTGGCCTTCAAGGCAACCCTAGGCCTTTCATGCAGTCTTACATAACACCAATGCAACCTGGTACAGCTGTGCATTTCAGTCACGAAATGACTGCTCAAAGTAGTGAGGCTTATAACGCTTTTACAGCATACAATAATCCATTTGGGATGTTCTGGCGACCAAATTAGTTATAATTCGTTCATTCTGAAGACACTTCTGCTGGATTGCTCCTAATCGGCAACTGACGTCGGAATATGCAGAAGAGTAACTCTGCACTTAACAATAATGACTTGAGCTGCCCCCGGCAAAGTAACATTGCCTGATCGTCGAGGACTTTTTTTCAGAGCTGAGAACAAATGCTGAAAAAAAACTGTTCACTTCCATTGTAGAAATGTAACTTTTATATATGATTAATAAATAAACGTCCTAGTTGAGGTATGAGCGATTCAGCTTACATTGTAAATATCAGAGCGAAGTAAAGGCCACACCCATTACTTTACAGCAACCAATCCTGATACATTAAACGGTTACCGACCAAACATCTTACATGTGATAGGCAATCTCTTTAAAAAGATGCCCCTAACTGTCGGCCTTTTCTAGTAACCTTTTAAATGTTTTAAAAACTATAAAACAGTGGCAGATTTAGGGGAGGGGTCCCACCTTATTGTTAGTCCAAACTGAGGCTCGTAGGGCCAAAAGAACTATTTTCGAGGCCCCCCTCCTATCTTAAGGTCTACATGAGCGAACTCCCCAACTGTTTAAAGTTTCGATCAGCCAATGCTAAAGACTTGAGAGGCTATTGTCGTCTCAGTGAAGTTGGCAGTGCAACTACTGTCAAGTGTTTATCCCCATCAAACTCGGGCTCCCCGTGGGAATGGGGAAGAGAGCACTTTAAGCGTGGCCTTTTTCTAGATAAAAACAATTTATTTCCGCGCTATCTCTCCTACCAACGTTCGCTCCCTGTTCACGACTCCAGGCCTAGAGAGTCACTCAGTGTTCAAGACCCCGGAATCCATATCCCAGGGTCCATACCCTGTTCAACGACTGCCAACACATTCCCTCGTTTAAAAAATCAGGGAGTACGGTACCCGGTACCCTCTCTCCAACCCCCACCACAAATAAAACTTCCGTAAGCAAAGTCGGGAGAAGCAATGGGGATCGGATAAAGTATTTATTAAAAAAAAAAAAACTAGGTTATTTCATTTTCTGCTAATCATCACGTGGTTCCACGTGGTTGTTTAATCAGCTTCAGTCACGTGGCCTAGATTCCAAGCCCTGTTGCGCGCCCAGTCTCCCGCTGTTGTTGTTACTTTTAGTGTTCTTTCTCGATCGAGCTCAATCTGCAAGTCCTGCGAATATGTGGCTGATATTTGAATTGTTCCTAGTGTGGCTTAAAGTCATTTACTACTGGGCTGAAGCTGTTTTCCGGGCAGTTGTGCGACCACCGAAAAAAAACATCGAAGGACAGATCGTGTTGATCACAGGTAAGAATTGATGCCCCCGGGGGACGAAAACAAAAACAAGTTGACGCTGAAGTCACGAACAGACCGAACGCGATTTTCGATCATTTCCTCGACGGATAAGCATGAGGGTGTTTTAAAATTCTTTTATCATATTAAATGTTTAACAGGATTCCCAGACCTTTGTAATCGGCAGTTCTATAATATTGCAATTTATCGATCTAGCGCTCGAGTAGCCTCTGTTGTATTCGGCTGTGGGGGGAGGGGGGTAGGGGAGTAGGGGGAAGGAACAGTACAGGCGGATCTTTTCAAGTATATCAAAGGGTAAAGACTTCATGAATTTATTTATACAAAAGGATAGGAAATCTGTCATAATGGTGTTAAAAACGGCTTTTATATAACCAACACCCTGTTTGTAAACTGCACATGGAAATTAGATGGGAGATAAAAACTTACCGGTTCTTTTCTTGAATCTGCAGTTTACAAATAAGAGTGTGGGTTAGCTATGGCTTTAAGTCAAAATATTTATAACAGACACACCTGATATACCTTGGATGGACCTCAGGTCACAGCGCCCTTGTTAAACTCTGTTGACTACCCCCTGCGCCTGGGGTTCAGTGTATGGTTGGTTGTTTACAAGTGGAACTTATAATCTGCAATGACTCAGAGACTAAAATATGTGTTCCATGTATAGGAGCTGGCGGTGGAATCGGTAGAAAGTTGTCTCTTGAGTTTGCTGCTCATGGTGCTAAGCTTGTCTTGTGGGACATCAACAAAGGTACATTTGACAAATTATGTTATGATTGTTTAAATTTAAAGTACATAGAGATAAGAACAAAACCAAAAATTTAATCCAATTTTCAGTGCCAGTGCTTTGTTTTTATTTTATTTATTTATAATTTATTACTATTTTATCATTAGTTTCCTTGTATGTGTTTTAACAAGCTAATTCTATTTACTGAGAAGAATTATTATTGATAACAGCAGTACAATAATAATAATAATAATAATAATAAGAAGAAGAAGAAGAAGAAGAAGAAGAAGAAGAAGAGTGATGATGGTTGTCGGAAACTGTTGTCAGTAATATTTGATTATTATCGCTTTCAATTAGTGCTATTGAATCTGTCAAGAGCTATTAGTGAGACATGCAAGTTGTAGTTAATGTAAGCTGAGAAGAGAATCTTGTGACGTAATTGAAACATTCCAGTATGGGGCGTATTGACCAGCTTTCTGATATATAATGGAAACAATGTATGTGCGGTATTATATATCTTTAGAGAACAAATTTTACTTGAGTGAGAGAGATTTTTATGTCATGTAATCAACCAATAAATTAGAAACCGAGAATATCGTGTGTTTTTCCATTTCCAAAAATGGTGATGATGATGAAGATGATAGTTACAGCTGTAGCTTAAGGCCTCTGAATTTCTTTTCTATAATAGACACAAATGAGGAGACAGCTGCCCAGGTGCGAGCACTAGGAAAAGTAGCTCACACTTATGTTTGCGACCTTAGCAGTAAAGACGACATTTACAGAGTTGGTGCTAAAGTGCAAAGAGAAGTGGGTCCAGTGGATATACTGGTGAATAATGCTGGGATCTTGAGTGGAAGAAAGCTTTTAAACTTAAAGGATGAAGATATTGAAAGGACCATGAAAATCAACACTTTGGCTCACTTTTGGGTAATTTCAAAAGTTTTTCAATACCAAATGTTGTTTTATTACCAGTAAGATTAATTAATCTAGTGAGTTATTTTAATTATTAAAATTAGAAGAATTTATTGGTCAAGCCAGCTCTACTTTAGCCTGTGACTGTAGATGATTTCTAGATATCAACTCTCTTACCAGAAGTTGGGTTTGCAAGCATGCCTTACCTATTACTAACTGGAGTGAATTAGGATAGGCCTGTTTGGACATTGATTAACTTATTATGACTTGATCTTAACAATCATAAATTTGTGTATGGTTGTGACATGATGCATAACATGCTGTTACGTTGTTGATTCCCCATAATCATGGGCAGATTTAGGGGTCGGGTCAGGGGACCTTGCCCCCCCGCCTTTTTTCTATTATTTTTAAAGAATTCTCAGAAAATTTCATTTTGTTTGCAGACTATAAGATCATTTCTTCCAAGAATGCTGGAAAGAAACAAGGGTCACATTGTAAACATTACCTCACTTGCAGGCACCTTTCCAACAGCTAATCTTACTGATTACTGTGCATCAAAATTTGGTGCGACGGGTCTCAATCATTCATTGGCACTAGAGCTTCACCAGATGGGAAGAGATGACATTAAACTGACCTGTGTTCAGCCATATACGGTGAATACAGGATTAGTATGGCATCCAGAGTCGCGGTAAGTCAGTATTCGCAACCTTCTCTTCTTACAGAGATCAGTTCTGCTAATAATATTAGTATTAATATAATTATTATTAAGTCCATCATGTGTTCACTGCTATAATCCAGCTACCCACCCTTCCTAGCACTCTCAAGCCTGCAAAGGTCTGTCCTAACCAATCCTAGCAAATAGTAATTCCAGAAAATACCAATACTTCCCCAACAGGGGAGTTTGGACATTCCATAGAGACTTAAACACTTAAAAAATTAAAATGTATGTTCAAGATAAATTTGAATTCTCAGAAGGGAACAAATCTCTATCATGGGGGGAAGGATGGGGGGTGTTATAGATATTTTTTGAAATAGACAATAGATTATAATAGGTCAGTTGCTGGATGGGTGACCCAGCCTGTAATGTACTATGTCATTTGAACCTCCATGTGGAACCTTCTAACAAAACGCCAAAGATTTTGCCAGTCAAAGGTTTAATAAGGAAGTCAACAACTTTGCACGTGCATCACATTGTTTTTCTACACTTCAAAATTTCAAAAGGGTAAGGGGTCAGACCTCGGGATGTTCCTCCCCATATAAACCTTTGTTGAGTACCCCCTCCCCCTGCCCCTGAGCATCAAATTGTTTTGAAAGTGTACATTTAGATTCGTTTTTCAGTAGCCACTTGGTCCCAGCTGGGTGGAAGAAACAAGAACATCTATTAAATTCTTATCGCAACTGTTCTCTTGTAGTTTTCCATCTTTGTACCCTACGTTGGAAGTAGATTACGTTGCCAAAGAGATTGTTGCTGGAACACTGAGAGATGAGCCTCTTGTTGTTATTCCACGGGCTGTGGTTTTGAACTATGTTTTGGCTGGGTGAGTATATAGAACTGAAAGTTGTTCATCATGTATTTTCTTCAAGACTTTTCTTGCTTGCACTATTCACATTTTAACATTCTAACTATAAGCATCATGATACATTGATAACAACAACGACAACAAACAATTTGCAGAAAATAATAAATGATGACAAACCAGTATTAAAAGTAAAAAGTGCAGAGTTCGGTTATAACGTGCATCACACTTTGTTGGACATTTTTTCTTTGCCGTCACTGCACAACTACGAAGTAGAGATGCCTAATTTCACGTTTAATGGAAGAATGATGATGATGATGAAACTTAATTACCGGTAAGGTGTTGAAAGAAGCCTCCTAGCTTAGGTTAAAAACCTATGCTAATTAGGGGACACAAAATAAATAAATATAAATTAACGTAAAAAAAATATTTACATATAAGCGCAGGTATAAAAAAATTAATGACATTAAAGAAATGAACTTGAACTTGGATCTTCGGGTTCTTGGGAATTCAATTTCAGAAAAGTTCGCCTATTTTGGACAAAGTAAGAGAGTTGGTCACCCAAAGCCGTAACAAAATGTTTGTCTTGTCAGGAAGGAAAAATTGTCAATCCGATGCACTACGTTGACTGTTAATGCCTTTAAGTACTATGTGAAAGTTCAAAATTATACTGAGTCACATTGGCATTTGATCTGTCCGGTCATCATGACTAAGCGTACGTAGTCTAAGTACAGGAGGGATAACGTTGGTTGTGGGAAAATTTTAGACGGACATTGACTGACTGAATGACTGACTAAAATTTGTAGGTAAACATACCTGTGATGGAAATTAGGCTGGCGCTCTAACATTCCCACGTGCATTGCCCTCCTTTGTGAAACTCTCCTAGCTCATGAACCACTTAACATTGTGTCATAAACCTTTCTTGTCACCCTCAAAGGATATTTTTATTGTTAACGTGCCCGTTCCACTACCACCCCCGGCCACGCCCTCTACCCAACAGAACTTCTCCAATACTATGACGGATCTTGGCTTATGTGCTACTTTTGTTTTGCGTTCCAGGCTTATGCCCATTAAAGCAGGCTATGTTTTACACGACTTTCTGCGAGTTGGAGTTGGAGAACACTTTCCAGGAGAAGAGAAGAAAGCGGACTGATATTTTCATTTACAGTAGTGCCCAGTCCCCTTACTTATACTCGGCTCTGGTTTTGTGTATGCTGATAAAGTTTTTCCCACATTTTTTTTAGTTAGAAATAACAAGTGATCCGTAATAGAACATCACAGATGTACATCTGACTTCAAAGCGGATTTCTTCATATAAACCAAAGCGGTTAATCCATCCTCGCTATTGGAGAGCAGACCTCCTTTCAAAAAAGATAAGGAAGTCTTTTTTTATATAATCAAAACAGCAAAATTTTCAGGAGTTTCCATCAAATGGTTTAAATAGTCGGACTAGCCTGATTATAATAAACGAGTTAAATTTTGCTGACTATGGAGTTCATAGGACCGACCAAACGCTGATGCGCACCGTGGTAGAAATAATAGGCAGGTTTGACAGTTTAAGCAACGGCAGCAAGAGTTTCGAAAAAGCAATAGATATAAAGAGAAAAAAAAAGTTTTCACGTACAGCGCGCTTTTTTATACATTCACTTGCAACGTCTCTACGAGGCGACCACAACTGAAATTTTCATTATGCGACGTTTTAATATGTGGGACGATATCAAACAAAAAATAATTTTTCTTTCTCTTTCTAAACTTGGGTGCGGTCCCAAGAATTCATCTACAGGCAAATTCACACACCTTTGACATGAATTTAAGTGAGTTGGAATATGACGAATATACGCGGCACAGTTTGAAAAACACGCGAGTTTATTTTTAATAAAGACGTTTTCCCTGCTGTCGCCGTCTTTGTTCCTAAAGCTCTCTCGTTCATGAGTAGTCCTGTTACCCTGAATCGATACCACACGTTAAAATAATAAAAATAGTGAGAAAAAAAAGCTGGCTGCCGCGAACTTTCTCGTCTCCTTTGCATCTTCAATGGTGTAAGTGGAAAAAATTTCAATTCCTTGTCGAAGAAGTCAAAGATCTCTAGCCTGCGGGCAGGCTCACTTGTTAGAGTTCGGGTCCGCCGCCAGTCTGCTACACAGCCGTTTATAGTGTCGTAACGCGTGATGACACTAAAAACGGCTGTGTAGCAGACTACTCCGCCACCGAAGTTTCCCGGAAAAGACCTCAAGCAAGAGCTGTCACGTGACGACTATGTTACCCCAAGCCCTACACGAACCTTATGTCAAGATCATAATACACGCGGGCGGTAATGATCTTAATCTTCAATTAAAGTCTTCGGGGGAAGGGGCGGGGAGACTAATTGGTGTTCACAATTATATTGCAAAACTCAGTTCGACGATTATCTCTGCATCACTATGCGTTTTCCGTCGTCCAACGAAACAAGGCACCTCACACAAAGTCTTATGATTGTCGTGCGTACCGGAAGAGGTCATCTTTCATGGGTAGCCTGTGCTCACACTCAGTTCTCCAGTGTGGAACCGAATGTCAAAGACGGTCTCAGATAATAGTAAATCATATTCTATATCACGATAAAGGCAATATAGATCACATCTAGCTGGATTTTTTAAATAGACGTCTTCCGTCAAGCCGTTTTTGGGCGCAAATACTATCTACAAAAAATCCCAGATTGCAACCCCTGTATTTTTGCTCATCCTCCTTTTTTTCTCCTTGCTCTTCCCATTTTTCATTTCCTTTTCCTTCGCTAGTTTGGTCTTTTTGCACTTCAATGGCTGCAACAATTACAAGGTTTGTTTCCAAAAAACCGACTAGACTTACAAAGCAAAGAAGAATTTTAGAGCTGCGTCTTACACGAGCCAACAATTAATTAGAGCATTATTGTATTCCAATGCTGTGGAAGAACAAGCCTTTCACGTTCAAACTATACTTTAGAATGGAAAAGGCATTGAGATTATAACATTCAATCTTGAGAGAAAATAGACGCTTCTAGCAGAACTAAAAGATACAGTCATCTTTGATCATAAACCAGCTCCGGGAAATAATCTCGAACAGATGGCTTAGTCTAACTCTAACTCTGATATTGTGATGTAACCAAGTTTACGTTTTAGCACATCTCGAGAATGGTAAAATATTTTCCCAACATAACCGACAGCAAGGCTCATTAAATATGAATCCGGAATCAAGGTCAGATTTTGCTTGATGCGCTGTTTGAAGACACCAAGACCTTCATCACTGCCAACATTCACTGTTACATCGCGTACATCCTGGAAGACACCAGATGATTTGCACTCGGGAGGAACTGCTTTGTGCAGACTCGACCAATCGGAATTCACTTCATCAATGTAACATTCAGCAAGATCTTGGAATAATTCACAAGCCATTTCTTGAAGAGAAATCTGTGCGACAGGCTCGGGTATGCACTTGTGCATGACCTCAGATTTCTCCTTTTTCTCGCGGGTTCGCATGTAGAACTTGTGGACCAACAAGTTCAGTTCACCAGTAACAGAAGCGAGCAACTGTTTGAAGAAATCCTCCACCAGGCTCCATATTCGAATGACCATGCTGTAGGCATCTTCATCAAGTTCAGTGCTGTTGAGATCTGTGAGCTGATTCCAAAACCAGCCAAACTTACGCGAGCCAGGAACACTACCGATATTAACAAACATCTTGTTCCATAACTCGGTCGGATCTTCACCTCTAAGAGTGCTCGAAACAATGTACTCCATCAAATCAATCATTTCTAACACCCTAATTTGCCGTTTTCTTTCTTTGACATCTTCTGGCGAATACTTCATCTTTAAGCCTCTCAAGCAATTCACCATCTCTTCTAGAATGCATCGGCGGAGCTTGTTTTCGTGATCGCCCTTTGTCAGTAGGTTATACCTTGACAAAAAGAAGCTGTTTATCTCTTCACTTACAATACCTTGCATTATAGCCTCTAGAATCCTCTCCAATGTTTGCGACCTGAGCTGCTTTTCCCAGCGAGGCTTTTCAGTAATGAACAACTGAGACAACAAGGCAGTCTTGAAAATGTACGATGGCATCAGGGCTGCGTCCAAACCCAGTCGCTCCATAACAGTATCCCTCATGATTTTCAAAACCCGGAAGCAAGCTTTAAACCCCTCAGGAGAGGAAGACAGGACGTCTTTTTCAGCCATGGAAAACGAAATGCGCCAGACATCAAAACCAGCAGGGACGACATGAAATCCGTTTCTACGGAGACAATCATCTACTGATTGTGGAAGGGATTTTGACAACTCAGCAGTAAGCTTGGTTATAAAGTACTCCAGAGTTAGTGTCAAGTCAACGCTGATAAGCAGATTTCTGGAACTACTATGACCTTGCCATTTGATGTAAAGAGTAGTGGCTGGACCGTGCGTTTCTGAGTATAAGACACCAGATGAAGTGTCCTTACCGCCGGTATTACCCAACAGATCTGAAAAGACAGGCCCCCATGGGCCATCAAGCAGCTCCTGATCAGCTCTCTGAATTGAGAGCACCTCGGGTACCTCGACATAACTAAGTGATCCATTGACAAGCTTCTTAAAGTGGCGACAAAGAACATTTGGACTGAAGAAGCCATGTTCATCTTTGAATTCTTTCCATGTGTCATCATCTAGGTTAAGCTTAACGTAACCGTCACCTTTTTCGCATGTATAAAAGAGCGGCGTGTTTGTGAGCGAGTCAAGTTTGACCATGAAGTCGAATTCATCAGGCTTTTTCACTTTCACGCCTTCGTACACACTTCCGCTTTTGATCAAAGTGCTTCGAAATCGCTGGTCTTGCTTCTCTACTTGCTTCAGAATATTGCCAACGAGTATCTCGAGTTTCTGGCGAATTAAGTCAGCTTCATCTTCGTCCTCAAAGCGTGCTCGTTTCTCAAAATCTTCGAAAATATCGGACATGTTGATAAGACGCAGTAGAGCTGAATAGATACCGATGAAATACAGAAAGTTACTCCCCGGGGTTTTTCCCTTTATTTTATTTCACGTGACTTTTAATGCATCGGGGCTTTCATGGAATTTCAATTAATGAGTCTTCCTTTCTTGGAATCAATTCTAGAGATCATAGCTGGTTTTTGCAAATTAAAAATAAAAAGACAATTTTGCATATTTCTGCCGGTAAATTAATAAGTAAAGTGAAAAAAGGACAGCTTATCTAAAAATCGATAAATTCAGGGTAGAAATAATAGGGAGGTTTGACAGCTTATACAATGACAAGGGCAGTAAGAACGTCGAAAAAGCAATAAAGGTTTAAAGAGAAAAAAAATTTTCACGTACGGCACACTTTTTTATGCATTCACTTGCAGCGTCCCTGCACGGCGAAAACCACTTCAATTTTCATTATGCGACGTTTTGAGGGAGACTTTTTTCATACAAAAAATTATTTTTCCCTCTCTTTCCAAACTTTCACATGCGGTCCCAAGAATTCATCTCCAGGGAGATTCACATACCCTTGACATGAATTTACGTGAATTGGAATATGACGAATATAAGTTGCATAGTTTTAATAAAGATGTTTTCCCTACCGCCGCAGTCGTTGTTGCTAAAGCTCTCTAATTCAGTGCCTAAAATTAGTAGTCCTGTTACCCTGAATCGATACTACACGTTAAAATAATAAAAATAGTGAGAAAAAAAAGCTAGCTGCCGCGACCTTTCTCGTCTCCTTTGCATCTTCAATGGTGTAAGTGGAAAAAATTTCAATCCCTTGTCGAAGAAGTCAAAGATCTCTAGCCTGCGGACAGGCTCACTTGTTAGCGTTCGGGTCCGCCGCCAGTCTGCTACACACACAGCCGTTTATAGTGTCGTAACACGTGACGACACTATAAACGGCTGAGCAGCAGACTACTCCGTCGCCGAAGTTTCCCGGAAAAGACCTCAAGCAAGAGCTGTCACGTGACGACTATGTTACCCCAAGCCCTACACGAACCTTATGTCAAGATCATAATACACCCGGGCGGTAATGATCTTAATCTTTCATAAAAGTCGTCGGGGGAAGGGGCGGGGAGACTAATTGGTGTTCACAATTATATAGCAAAACTCAGTTCGACGATTATTTCTGCATCAATATGCGTTTTCCGTCGTCCAACGAAACAAGGCACCTCATACAAAGTCTTATGATTGTCGTGCGTACCGGAAGAGGTCATCTTTCATGGGTAGCCTGTGCTCACACTCAGTTCTCCAGTGTGGAACCGAAGGTCAAAGACGGTCTCAGATAATAGTAAATCATATTCTATATCACGATAAAGGCAATATAGATCACATCTAGCTGGATTTTTTAAATAGACGTCTTCCGTCAAGCAGTTTTTGGGCGCAAATACTATCTACAAAAAATCCCAGATTGCAACCCCTGTATTTTTGCTCATCCTCCTTTTTTTCTCCTTGCTCTTCCCATTTTTCATGTCCTTTTCCTTCGCTAGTGTGATTTGCAGGTTTCTCGGAAGCAAGAAAACTTGTCTTTTGGTCTTTTTGCACTTCAATCGCTGCAAGAATTACAAGGTTTGTTTCCAAAATTCCGACTAGACTTACAAAGCAAAGAAGAATTTTAGAGCTGCGTCTTACACGAGCCAACAATTAATTAGAGCATTATTGTATTCCAATGCTGTGGAAGAACAAGCCTTTCACGTTCAAACTATAATTTAGAATGGAAAAGGCATTGAGATTATAACATTCAATCTTGAGAGAAAATAGACGCTTCTAGCAGAACTAAAAGATACAGTCATCTTTGATCATAAACCAGCTCCGGGAAATAATCTCGAACAGATGGCTTAGTCTAACTCTAACTCTGATATTGTGATGTAACCAAGTTTACGTTTTAGCACATCTCGAGAATGGTAAAATATTTTCCCAACATAACCGACAGCAAGGCTCATTAAATATGAATCCGGAATCAAGGTCAGATTTTGCTTGATGCGCTGTTTGAAGACACCAAGACCTTCATCACTGCCAACATTCACTGTTACATCGCGTACATCCTGGAAGACACCAGATGATTTGTACTCGGGAGGAACTGCTTTGTGCAGACTCGACCAATCGGAATTCACTTCATCAATGTAACATTCAGCAAGATCTTGGAATAATTCACAAGCCATTTCTTGAAGAGAAATCTGTGCGACAGGCTCGGGTATGCACTTGTGCATGACCTCAAATTTCTCCTTTTTCTCGCGGGTTCTGATGTAGAACTTGTGGACCAACAAGTTCAGTTCACCAGTAACAGAAGCGAGCAACTGCTTGAAGAAATCCTCCACCAGGCTCCATATTCGAATGACCATGCTGTAGGCATCTTCATCAAGTTCAGTGCTGTTGAGATCTGTGAGCTGATTCCAAAACCAGCCAAACTTGCGCGAGCCAGGAACACTACCAGTATTAACAAACATCTTGTTCCATAACTCGGTCGGATCTTTTCCTCTAAGAGTGCTCGAAACAATGTACTCCATCAAATCAATCATTTCTAACACCCTAATTTGCCGTTTTCTTTCTTTGACGTCTTCTGGTGAATACTTCATCTTTAAGCCTCTCAAGCAATTCAGCATCTCTTCTAGAATGCATCGGCGGAGCTTGTTTTCGTGATCGCCCTTTGTCAGTAGGTTATACCTTGACAAAAAGAAGCTGTTTATCTCTTCACTTACAATACCTTGCAGTATAGCCTCTAGAATCCCCTCCAATGTTTGCGACCTGAGCTGCTGTTCCCAGTGAGGCTTTTCAGTTATGAACAACTGAGACAACAAAGCAGTCTTGAAAATGTACGATGGCATCAGGGCTGCGTCCAAACCCAGTCGCTCCATAATAGTATCCCTCATGATTTTCAAAACCCGGAAGCAAGCTTTAAACCCCTCAGGAGAGGAAGACAGGACGTCTTTTTCAGCCATGGAAAACGAAATGCGCCAGACATCAAAACCAGCAGGGACGACATGAAATCCGTTTCTACGGAGACAATCATCTACTGATTGTGGAAGGGATTTTGACAACTCAGCAGTAAGCTTGGTTATAAAGTACTCCAGAGTTAGTGTCAAGTCAACGCTGATAAGCAGATTTCTGTAACTACTATCACCTTGCCATTTGATGTAAAGAGTAGTGGCTGGACCATGCGTTTCTGAGTATAAGACACCAGATGGGTCGTCCTTACCGCCGCTATTACCCAACAGATCTGAAAAGACAGGCCCCCATGGGCCATCAAGCAGCTCCTGATCAGCTCTCCGAATTGAGAGCCCCTCAGGTACCTCGACATAACTAAGTGATCCATTGACAAGCTTCTTAAAGTGGCGACAAAGAAGATTTGGGCTGAAGAAGCCATGTTCATCTTTGAATTCTTTCCATGTGTCATCATCTAGGTTAAGCTTAACGTAACCGTCACCTTTTTCGCATGGATAAAAGAGCGGCGTGTTTGTGAGCGAGTCAAGTTTGACCATGAAGTCGAATTCATCAGGCTTTTTCACTTTCACGCCTTCGTACACACTTCCGCTTTTGATCAAAGTGCTTCGAAATCGCTGGTCTTGCTTCTCTACTTGCTTCAGAATATTGCCAACGAGTATCTCGAGTTTCTGGCGAATTAAGTCAGCTTCACCTTCGTCCTTAAAGCGTGCTCGTTTCTCAAAATCTTCGAAAATATCGGACATGTTGATAAGACGCAGTAGAGCTGAATTGGTACATGAACTACAGAAAGTTATTCCCCGGGGTATATCCCCTTTTTTCATTTCACGTGACTTTTAATACATCCGGGCTTTCATGGAATATCAATTATTACATCAACAACAAGGAGTCTTCCTTTCTTGGAATCAATTCTGGAGATCGTAGCTGGTTTTTGTAAATTAAAAATCAAAAGACAATTTTGCATATTTCTGCCGGTAAATTAATAAGTAAAGTGAAAAAAAGACAGCGCATCTGAAAATCGATAAATTCCTCTCAATCCTTCCCTTTCGTGATTTTCAGTCAATACAAAAGTGAAAGTACAGTGTTGGAGAGTTTGAAAAGAGGACAGCATAAAAATGAAAAGATCGGAACTGGAGTTGTTTCCATTTCTGATGATCTAAAGGAAACCATCGAAAACATTCAAAACATTTCAAAGAGTGGAGGGGTTTTAGACCCCCATCCCCTCCCACTCCGGGGCCCCTGCGGCACTCCTTGAGCTCACGCTACGCGGGAGCTAGCCCAGGGTGGCAACGGGTTTTTTTCGTGACGCGTGATGGGACCCAAATTATCAGCGTGATGCGTGATCAGGCCCTAATTTAATGGTCGCGAGAGGCGTGATTGGACATAGCAGCGTGATGCGTGATCTACTATTTTCACAACGCGTGACGCGTGATTTCCCTTTGAGATTTCCGTCATGGTTAATATCATTTCAAACAACAAGCAGCGACATAAAAAATACATAGTTATGACAGCAGCTCCTTGCCATTTTTTCTCGTTCCTCGACCTCTGATTTCATCAGATCAAATGATAATAGGATACCTCTTAATGTAGTTAATATTCTATTTCATTTTTCCGTGATGTGTGATAGGTTCTCTCCCCCCCTCTCTCCCCCCCCCCCACCCTTTGGCACCCTGTAACCCCACCAATCCAAAGCTCTGCAGTCATTGGTTTTGAAAGGAATTTTGACACTTTTTCCGGAGAAGAAAGCCTCCCTCCCCTCCAGCCTCCCTCCGACACAAAGAGGCCTGGGCTGCGGAGGAGACAAAGCTCGATCTAGATAATTATTCAGATCACACTTACCTCAGCCTCATCCAGCAATTGCTTCCGAACCATACCTCTCGTCACTCTTTTCCTGATAGTTCTGTTAAGGTTAAATTGAGAGGGGTGGGGTGGGGGCATCTTTTTGGTTTATAACATGCACAGGGATTCTAAACCAGTATTTTAGAGTAGAGTCAAAACCCTTTAATACAGACATTGAGGGAACCATAGAAAGCATTCGCATTGATGGGGTGTCTGTATTGCTGTGTCCCCAGGGACAAAGCAAACTGTCCGTAAGTTTGAGATGCCCATATTAAGCGGGTGTCCATACGGGCTTGGAGTGTATACAATGCTGGCATCCACCACACCCAAGGCATGAATACAATCAACTGAACTGGTTCAATTTTTACTTTCCTTTGTTTAAATGTCTTTATCATACATTATCATACAAAAAGCAAAAGTAAACCTTGCGTAAAAATTGAACCCCAGCAGTTATACCTAATTCAATAAAGGTGACTGGCAATTGGGCATTGGGTATTTGGGCAAACAGAACAATGCAATGATTTGCTTGAGTGACAAACAAACAATAGATTCCCAAAGCGTAATTACAGTACCAATGCCTAGAGCAACCTTAATTGAATCAGCTATATATTAAAAGGAACAAAGGTAAAGAATACACATTTTATGCTTTTCAGTACAGAGAATAACCTAAATAGACCTCTTCAATAACGACGGCCTATTAATATATTCTTTTATATGTACGATAAATAGCCTTTCTGACCTTGTTAGCATGTAAAAAATACAAAAGGCTAACTATCACACATATAATAAAATATATCAATAAGACACCATTATGAAAGAGGTCTATACATGTTGGTGAACAGATCAATAGACCATTTTACAGTAACTGTTGTGGGCTTGAGGTTGACTATGTTTTGATGCAAACCTCTTTCTTTTCTTATGGAAATGAACAACATGATTCTAATGATAAAGCAGTTAGGGTTGTATCGAAACAAGGTCCAACCAGCCTCACTTCAACCAGCAAGTGTAAAAAGGCTAAACACTACACTTATAATCACGCTAAATTTATGCTAACATCTGTTTTGATTGTGCAAATTAAAAATACAAAACACAGTATACGCAGAGGATATAACATGGCTGCACAGAGGTAAGAAAGTATGACGTTGTGCGATATCATTTCATCAATGTTACATAATATGAATGTTACACCCTAGGGCACTGACAGAAACAATTCTGTAATTACTGATGAACATACAACTCCTTCAAACTCCTGTAACTTCTGTACACTTTTAAAAGAACATGAACTAGACTTATTTGGGATTTTGTCCATCAGAAACATCCAACATCCATTAGATTGGAACTGTAAAGTGTCTTGTAATTTACTAGTGGTATGGTTTCATATCATCTCTTGTAAACAAGTTTATCGGGCTGTGTGAACTGTGTCATAGGCTGACCTCCAGTACCACAAGTACCAACACCAACCTGACAAATAACAGCAAGAATAGTTACTTTTCTAAACAAAGACAAACAATCAAAATGGAAGAGAAAAAAAAGGAATAATTCAAGCAGCAACAAGAGCATTGCACACTTGCCTTGCCTTTATCAATGATTTAAATTTTTTGGTAGAAAATATCTTGAGTTGACCTTTCCGCGAGAGAGACAGTTTTCTCTTAGAACCTTTCTTTTCTATAATCATTTTAACCATTGTTTATATTTCGGGTTTGTACCCTTTTTAACCAAAAATTCAAGGGCTTTTTAAGGACTTTCAAGGTAGGGGAGAGTTGATTGTAGACATAAATAAGCATTCGCTGGGCTGACAAGTTATTATCTCTAAAATCATTCTTGGAAGAATTACAGAATTCCTCTTCTACGATGCACCTTTAGCAATATACATGAATCGCGTGCCCTGGTCTTCTTTTCTGAATTATTCAAGTGCAACCCATAATTGAGTTCACCCAATTAAGTTTTATTTAGGTATTTATTCCACATGAAAGTGAGTTTATAATTTTGTTGAAATTGACATCACATGTGGAAGGCGCATGATCGCTTAGTGAGACAGAGTTGAGTTGAGTATGTATATCTCTGCTTGGTAGCTGCAGTTACCTAGCAACAGACCATAAACAACTCTGAAAGACGCTATTCAGCATGAAGTCACGGTCCATTTTGGGTTTCCAGGCAACACAACTGGTTTGCCATCAACTGGGCTAATTTTATTCATCCTTGGTGAAATTATGTTTACTGTTGGCGAATCGTGAAGTATTTCCCCCAAATAACACCGAGCTGCAAACCAATAGTGTCCCTGAGTCGAAAAGTGGCTGGAAATCCTCGCTGTGGAAGATTTAACACCAAAAGAACAGCGAAAAGAACTTTAGTGAGAGCAATGAAGAAAAAGACGGGCGCATACATCGATTGGCTGTTGAGCCCGATAGTGAATAAACAGGAAAATGATGTGAAATGACTGAAATACTACCTCAAGCAAGTTTCCTCAAATTTATCTTTGAATTCATGATAAATACAGCTCCACAAGCTTCAAACAGCATGAATGGAAGAAAAAAATGCTTTATGTCTGTTAATTTTCTGTTGTTCATAGTCCAGGGGAAGCATTGTCCAGTGGTCTGGGAGCAGGAGGTAATCATGGCTTAAGTCCAAGTTCCGTTTTCTTTGTAACTTTTTTTTCTGTTTTGTCTTTTTTTCATCATATTTTTCCCTTTTGCTTGTTTCCCTTTATTCTCACTGGTGACCCTTCACAGCTTTGCAAGATTTATGAGATAACATATTTCTAGTGTTGGTAATACTTGCCTTTCCTTGGATTGTGTCTGGAGAGGCAAATATGCTTTTCTTGGAAACTCCTTTTAAGCTTTTGCCTGATTTACTTGATCCACCACCCTATAAACATTGCATGTACATGTATATGTAGTAAATGTTAACAAATGTGAAAATCAATAAAATTTGACTGAGGTACTAAGCAAAAAATTCAGGGCCTGGTCATTAACAACAATAGTGATAATAGAGGATTTTAATTTCAGTTGAGGTTAGTATTTATCATTGGAAACAAAAACATGTGCCTTTCAACTTGTTTTACATTGGGTTTCTAGACTCCTTGACATTCTGGTAGGTTAAGGACAATGAAAAATTATTGTTAAGGAGTCATTCGATGATAACCAGACTAAAGTTTGGGAGAATTAACGGTACATAAAAAAAGAAATCATTCTTCTGTCCCATCCCCTATTTCTAACTTTTTTGTTAGTAAGTTAGAAGATGAAGGAAGAGTCTTATGTTCATGTTTTTCTTGTTTGCCTACAGTTTCATGTTAGCAGCTGTATGAAACTGGAGAAGATGAAGATCACTATTAACTAAACAGGCAAAGATTTTTGTTTATGTAGCTAGTTCTATATAGAATGTAGATGTAACTACTATCTTTCTTTGAGAATAACCTTTGAATTGTTAAAAAAGTCCAGCCAGTTTTGCTTGCCCTTTTCCCTCAGTTCTTCAAGTTCCTACAAAGTAATACAAAAAAGAAAAAATTCAAAATGGCTGTAATAGTAATATTAGTACTGTACATACACTGTAATATGTTCTCTGAAACTACTCGTGCCAACATCAGAAATGTATAAAACATGGTAAATTTTAAACTTCAAACAATATATGATTCAGGGCTCAAAGTTTAAATTTGAGTTTGGGAGCACTTGTGCTACCAGATGTAAATTTTTCAGCACACTGCCGAAATTTTAGGCGCACAGCTGAAAATGTTACGAGCACAGCTTATAATGTTGGGAGCATCTATTTCAAAAGAAAAAGTAAAAAGGTTAACAGTGCCACGTTTATTTGTCATCTTCAGTTTGTTACTTTTGCTTCAGTCCTGTGATTGATAAAACACAGCCGATTTGCTACGCAGTAATACCGTTGTGATTTTTGATACTAATTTCTCCTTTTGACAGTACAGTTATGACTAAAGAAAACTTACACTTGAAAAACAATTCAAAACTGACAACAATGAGTGTGTCGAAGAAGAATGAAAATTAATCTTTAATGAATTTGTTAAATGCACAATGACTTACATGTAACTGGAATACGACTGAAAAAACTTTCTTACCTGGCTCTTAATCCGCACTGTTTTTGTTTTGATTGACGTTAAAACTGAACGTTCGACATGATCGTCCAGTGCACAAAAAGTATGTGTTTCGTTCGTAGCATATATTTGCATGTGTCAGCGGTGTTTATTACAAAACAGAAGAGTCTGGGATGGAGTAAAACATCGAAATGAAAAAGAACATGCGAGTTCGTAGAATCCATTGGGAGAAAAGACCAATAAAACAAACAACGTCTTTGTAGTTCGAGTTTGTAAGTATAGTCGGAACTGAGTCAGGCGCACTGTGCTTTGGGTTTTACAGCGCACAGGTGCGATTACACATGAATTTCTAGGCGCACAACCAAAAATCCAGTCGCATATGCGACCAGTTAGTCGCTAACTTTGAGCCCTGTGATTCCTTTCATTTCACTACCTTTGCTTTTTGTTTCTTCTTTAACATCTTATTCTTCTTTCTTTTTTGTTCTTGTAGAGCATTCTCACCAGCCCTGCGATAATTTCATTAAAAAATCAGTCGTTTATATGCAGTCAACATACAGCTGTACCAAAAACGTGTAGCATTTCTTCATAAAGACTCCCAATAATATAATGACATATGGGTACACCACTTTTATGGCCAGCAGTAATATTATTACATTGTGCAACAAAAGCTTTCATGTCATTTTCACTGTTTTTATGTCTGTCCATGTTTTACCTTGATTTCTTTGAGGTGCTTGCGGACGATTCTGATTCCTCTAATGGCTTTTTTATTCCGGCTTGATCTGTATGCCGTAAAGATGATACCTATTTGAAATACCATTCGTACATGAGACAAATCAAAATTAGTGCAAAACTGTTATAAATAACAATGTTTTGTTAAGGCAAGGAGCGTGTGTACACAGATGGATCAAATTATAGGCACTGACCTTAACAATCTCTGTATTCCCATACTTATCAAATGAGACAGTGCAGGTTGTGAGGTCATCAGATATACTATCAACAGTAGCATCATAATAGCTGAAATAGAAAATTATGTTTTTTTTGAACTTGAAAGATAATAGTCTTTAAAAAGCATCTTGGATGTATGACAGCAGTTAATATGTCTACAGGTAGGTAATCAATAGCCTCCCACACAGACGTTCTTAGGGGTTCATCACACGTTCCTGCCCCACAAACGTCTGCTAACCTGAGCGGAAAAAAACATAGACCAACCACAGCAGACTTCCAGACCTGGGAAGTGCACTTTGGACCTTGAGAAATTTCGCGCTTGACTTTATAGCTCCAGAAAAGATCAGAAACTGAAAGGTCTCATGAAAGGTGACGACCTCACAGTTTTAGAACAAACTACTCAGTTAACTCACAAGCGTTCGTACTAATGGCTACCCTCACAATCTCATTAAAAAAAAAAATTACCTCGGAGGTTAAATTTGCTGAAGAGAAGTCGGCTTTACTACAAAACAATAACGTGGGAAAAAAAATTCTGCCTTTTGTTCCGTCTTATAAGGTAACCCCACCGTTGCATCACCCAAAGAACAATTTTAAGAGCAAATGACACCTAATCCAGCCTTTACAGAGAAAAATGTACAAAAAGCCAACGCTTATCTCCTATATTCTCGTCTGGAGCAAAAATCTTTGCTCACGTATCACACTCTACAGAGCTTGTACGTATGTGTTTGGCTTGTCAACACTTTGACTTCAACAACGCCAATTGGATCTCCGATAATCTCCATGTGATCTCCAGCAGATATTTGAGAACAATGGGAAAGGAATTTATCTTGCCGGTCAGCAGACGTTCGTGGGGCAGGAACGCGTGACGAACCCCTAAGAACGTCTGCATGGGAGGCTAGGTAATCAAATGATTTTTTCATGCGGTGTCGACAACTTAGGGGCAGAGGTACACAAAAGCTAACAATTGCCAAATGTCTACGAACACATATAACAAAATTGGCAAATAAAAGTTAGGAGTTCAAATGAATGCGGACCTAAACTGATTTGAATTTGCAACATACAACTAAACATAATGAACTCAGAAAAAAAAACACAATTCCTCCTAGCCAGCCTAGGCCTTTGGTCCGTGTCAGCAAAAGAGCTAGTTCTACAGTTCCATTATACTACATGTACACTGTCAGAAATGCCATTTTTCAGCATCGTTTTTCCTGAAAATTTCATTTCTCAAGTACACAATGAGAATATTATGTTTCATGATTATTGTTAGGAAAATCTACAGCCTGTAAGTTTAATCTACAATCATGCATGGGGAACTTGTCGATAAAGTGTACCTTATTTAGAAAACTGAAGCATATTACTTAGTAACAGTTTACCTGCCATCTTGACTCCATACTGCTTGGCATCTATCCCCTACTTTCCATGTGGAACCACTGCTTGTACTTCCTTTCTGAAAAGAAAATACAAGTCATGTAAGATTATACTAATATAACTTGTAAAGTACACAGAATAACAGACAGACAGGTAATACAGTCAACTCTCTCTAAGACGGACACCTTTAGGACCGGCACTAGCTGTGGGTCTTAGAGAGATGTCCGTCTTATAGAGAGTCAAATAGAGGGAGGAAAGAAAGGCAGGGACCAACTCTAGGTGTCCGTTTTACAGAGGTGTCCATCTTATAGAGGTGTCCGTTAAGAGAGAGTCAACTGTAACTGTAGTTTAATAAGCATGTAACAGCACAAATGATAAACAGTGTGTAATATTATTACTTTTAAGGTTCCATTAAGCACTCCCACTCCATTAATCTTTTAATCCCCCTTCTAATGATGATAATGAGCCTCCAACTTTAGAAGCTTGTTTTTTGTACAAATATACATGTAATAAGCCAACCCACTTTTGGGACTTGAGATATTTCTATAAACTGAGCAAGTCAAGGGGGAGCATTCCGCAGGAAATGAATTCTCATGGCCCTTCACAGACTGCATAATGGGGTTCATCAGTACAGTGGAACTCTGCTCTTCAGACACCAACTTAAAATGAACATCCATATAAATCCACTGTATAGCACACAGTTTCATCTGTCCTGACAAAAACCCACCTAATATAGCAATCAGTTAATATGGACAACAGACACTTTTCTGAGTCCCAAGCTCTATTGTACAGAGTATCTGTAACATAATCAATAAAACAGTGTCTGCAGCATTTTTTCTGAGGGCCTGTAATACAGACAATCGTGGAATGTCCCATTTGTGTATGTACATGTATATTATGTGGGTTCCACTGTACTTTGTTTTCCCCCGTTCTGTTTGTTGCGCGGTTACTGCTGTAAAATAACATCATGGAGATCATGGCTCCTACCTCGTTTACTTTTAAAAGGTCTAATGTAAGATTGATCACTTCCTGGACAAGAGAAATAAAAAATCATTGTTAAAATAAATGTCATCCAAGTCTGCAAGTCCTAGTTCAACAAGTTGTACCAATTCATACAAAAAACAATGAACAAATCCAAGAATTTGTGGCCAAAACTTTAATGATCGAAAACTCAAACTTACTTCTAAATCCTGTTTTAGTTTCTTTAGTTCTTCATTCCCTGGGTCTGTAGTCAATGCTGCTTCAACCTATTTAGAATACCCACATGTTACATGGTAACTTTTCCCTTCATAAAAATAAAATTTATTTTTATTCATGGTGTTCACTATCTGTCTTCTCATTGGCTAGAAACATAGAGCAAAGTTTGGAAATCAGCGCACAGGTAAGTTAGGTAACTGCTAGAAGATAACTGACTAATCTGTAGGTTACCTGCACAATGCATGATTTCGAAGAGGAATGTCTCACTTTGTTCTATGCAATGGTGTGTTTGATGTTATCTCAACAAAAACAACTGATAAAACTTACCTGGACCGTGATTATTATGGATATCACAAAAAACCATCCAATAATATTATTGTATAAAATGACAATCAATCATTTTTCTGCTCATCCATTTATCATTGAATCACTAGCACTCTACACAATACATGTACAGTTGATGAAAAAATGCCACCAGAATAATCTATAAGAGTCATTTACCCCTCACAAGACAGACCACCTTCAAGATCAGCGGAACATACATTATAAAAAGACAATTCTAAGATTTGTTAAAAGTAAGAATATTAAGAAGTATAATTTTTATATCAAGAGTATAATTAGAGTTTAGCAGCTGGTATTCAATAACAAAATCTACCTAATTTCGTATTGCTAGAAAACCCCTTACTCACTCTTAACAACTGAAACAGTTTCTACTTCATGACAAAGTCGCTGATAAAGGCAACCACAATACATTCCACAAAATCAACAAAATCAACAAAATCTCCTTTCAAATGGATAAGTTTACAAAAATACATCAAAAACCCAGACTTGTTCTAGACTGCAAATCGAACCCTTTGTTCCGTCTTTCATATTCATCGTTATCATATATACGTATCATACAAAATAAGAACGTAAAATTGTCGAATTAGGTAACTTGCCTGTCTTAATTGAGCGCGATATTCGGTCAAATTGGTCTGCAATTCTCTTGCATCCGCCATCTTTTTGGATCTCGTTTTTTACATCGGGAGGCTGCTAAGCTCGCGAAGCCCCGTATGTAAGCCTTGCTCACTCACTCGTTCCCAAAAAGACTGGGGACGAGTGCTGCCCCAGGGTTGTGTAGTGGCCCCAAGTTGGAGGCCGACATAACTTTGGCCAACGTTCGAAGCCACGAGCGACAAAGTTCGGATAAAAAAAAGCTTTTCTCGACATGATCGCAGACTACTCGCGGGCCAGTGCAAAGAAATTAGCCCGGAAAAGACTCATAAAAAGTCTCTGGGAACCACAAAGGACCTTCCTGAATCACTTGCATTTTAAAAGTGTCACTTGATCACTTACTTTCTACTACCATGATTACTGTTGATTGTCAGGAATTTTGTGTGGATAACAGGTCTCATGGCTCTCTTTTACAGTTCTTTTATACATGTTTGTTCTCTGTAATCTTAGGACGTTTTCGCCACATGAAGGTAATCCGGAATGGGAGAAATCTTTGCTTGTGGAATCAGAAATCTTAGGCTTTAGATTCCGGAATGCAGATCAAGGAATTCGGAATCCCGCTAAGGCGATGGGAATCCTGTCCCTGGACTCCGAAATCCACAGTGTGGAATCCAGAATCCAAGACTGTGTTGGATTAGCCTGCGTAGCAAGAGTATCAGCTCAAGTTAATGCCCAAAAGCTGGAAGGAGTCTTTTGCTATCACTTCATTTTTGCGCAACGACTTGAGTGGATATTTAGGATAGCATAAACCCCCAGGCATAAACCACGTGCGTTTGTGCTTGTCTTCTAACTCCATCAATTAGTATTCGCCTCGTATTTGCCACTCGACCACTTTCATAAAAAATAACAGGAAATCAAAGAAATATCGTCCGCAACAGAAATGCGTTACTCTTAAATGGTAATTCATGTTTAACCTTCAAACAGTTTTATTGTATGGCGCCACAATTCAAAAATCAAACTCGATCGCGGTCACGCAAGAATGAAATACACACGAAACACCTCAAAACCACAAGAATTTGTTCCTTAATGAAGAAGAGAGAAATTTGCCAGGTCGACGCTAGGTTGTAATAAATCTCACAAAAATCGATCACTGATGATTCGCATATACGAAATCGCTCCCGAAACCACATAGCGGCTCTAAATGAAAACCGAGCGACTTTCTGCGTTGATTCTTCATTCGAAGGTCAATTTTACAAGCCATAGTTTCGAAGACAAAGGCTATTTTTCTGTTTACAATAAAGATTGTTGAAATCTACACCAAGACATGCGATCATATAAAACAGTCCCGCTAAGATTTCTCATAATTAATCAAATAAATGTTATTTTTTAAAAAAATTCTTATACATAATTATGAGAATGTTTGGACAATCAACCAATCATAATTTCGGGTAGTAACGTCACTGGACGACATTATCGGCTTGTCGGTTCAGACCTCCCTGTCAAGAGCATTCGACTTGAGGGGATGTCTGAAATTTAGGCTATGAAAAGACTCAAATATATAAACTTAACTCCGTTACGATTATGTGCTTACGAACATCGAACAAGGAGATGCTCATCTTGCTTGTCTATAAAAGAACTTGTTATCGACAGAACATTTCCAGGGGCAAAAAAAGGTGTCAGAAAAATAAATTATCATTTAAATTGCCACTAACAAGTTATTTCCAAATCCTTCTTTCACAAAAATAAATAAGTATGTTGCTCAGAGACCATTCTGTTGAAAATAGAACGCGTCTTTGGCAGAAACCGATTATTCTGGAACGTTCCTTTATCCACCTCCTTTCGTTTTGACTACGGGTATATCAACCAACTAATGAATTTAAATTTTCGCGATGTTTTTTATTACAAACAGCTTTAACAATGTCTAAAGAATAGTGTTTTAAAAAATACTCCGTTCTAAATACCTTCAAATAATAAATGAAATATCCATGTTGCATTACAATAATGTAAGAGCATGAATTGCAATAATTTGATTATACAGTAAGGTATAATTACAGAGCGTAAGGTTAAAATGGGTTTCTTAAAAACGAGGACCTGATGTCTACGGAATTAAGGCAAAGAGAAAGCAAACGGAAACAATAAAACAACAATGAAAAAACTCTCAGGAGATCTGGTGTTTTGATTAGCCCATGGCTGTCTAGAAAGAAAGCAGTGGATGAGTTTTCAAAACGGGGAAAGAGAAAACGAAAAGAAGGGAACAAAACCTCTTTGTAATCTTAGACTCTAATCCTATTAGTACTGCTATTTTTCCTTTAATATTACGTTTTCACGTCCCTTACTAGCTCGTTCTTCAATCTTAGTTCCCCTTTAAACAAAAACAAAGTCATTTCGATTCCGCGCCAGATGTCCTGCAGCTTACATATAGGACGTCAAATCCTTCAAGAGGTTCCTTAAAAAATGAAGTGTTTACCAGCGGCGGTGAAAAATTATATTGTACCATTTTACCGAAGTTCACGATCCTATTTCCATTCCGGTCTGAGCCGGAGAGTTGGACCTCATGAAGTTCAGTTTCTGTTAGCAATTTAAATTACTGACATGATAATTGCTAACAGAACAAACCAATGTGCCAAAAAAATTCGTAAATTTTGTAAAAATTTCAGCTAGGCTTTTGGGTAGTCAAATATACCATGCCAGGTTTAGGAACGAATTTTCTTTTTTTTTTCTTAGTACGCCTGAACAACGTACTATGGTATATGTACTGTAAAAAAAGACAGGACATAATGTATCTGGGAATAAATCCCTGCTTTGTCTAAATCAGTGTCCCCAAAAGGCAAGGTATGTGAAATTTTGATTTAAAAAGGGGATTTTTAAAAAAGCTCTTGACCTCAGGTGCGCTGAGGTGCCTTGCGTTTGTATTGCCAACGTGGTCATGTTCGCGACCGGCGATGTTTTCAAAATGTTGGTATTTTATTCAGTCTTAGTACGTTAATACGATAATATACAGGTATTTTTTCGGTGTTAGTACGTTAGTACGCTTAGTACGGCCATGTTCTCGTGTATACTGGTATTCTATTCGGTCTTAGTACGTTAGTACGCTTAGTACGCGGGACTCTGTAAAGTGCGGATCCGGACGGCGGATCCGGACGGCGGATGCGGACGGCGGACGGCGGACGGCGGACGGCGGACGGCGGACGGCGGACGGCGGACAATAATAAAAAAATAAAAAAATAAAAATAAAATAAAAATAGACGTATAAAATAAATAAACGAGATAAATGAATAAGACGGCGGACGGCGGACAATAATAAAAAAAAAATAAAATAATAGAAATAAAATAAAAAATAAAAATAAAATAAAATAAAATAGACGTATAAAATAAATAAACGAGATAAATGAATAAGAAAACATAAGAAAAGCGAGAAATAAAAAAAAAAAAGAGAAAATCATTATTAGTCGAGACATTCTCCAATCACTGTCGGAATCACTGTCGGAAATCTTCGGAGAGGAGTCAAACAGAGTGGCCAGACACGTGGCTGGCTCGGATTTCACTAGCAACTCGTGCGAAGAGAAGATCTGTTGTTTTGGTTTGCAGAATTTTGGTTTGTTGTTTTGGTTTTGCAAAATGAACAAGAGAAGCTACGCTGATGTAGTATCTGGAAGTGGTAAGTTCATCTTTGCGCAGTTGTCTGTTTTATTTGGTGTTTGGTGTTTGCCGCAATGCTTTATATCTCTTTCAGGGTCATCGGAATCAGAGTCAGAGTTATTGTGCAGGCAAGTAACCTTTTAACCCTTTTAACCTTTAAAACGCGGACTTTTAGTGTAGGAAATTTGGTTTTGTGGTACAAAGTGTGGTAGAAAATGTGGAGTGTGGAAAATGCGAAGTGTAGAAAATGCGAAGTGTGGTAACTGCAAACTGCACTGCAACTGCACTGTAACAGCAGTGTCATAATATTTACAAATTGATCAGTCCGGCCGGGAACTGTCACA